TACTTTTAAAAATGTAGGGATGTAATATATATACGAAGTGTATTTTTTATGTGATATGATATTAAAACAGGTAAACTCTCCTAAAACTTCGAATAAATACTAGTGATGCATTTAAAAAAATTGAGTGAGTAAGAATTTCCCATACAAGTTTATGCATTTATGATAACTAGCCTTTTATGCATGCGATGTAGCTGGATAATTTTGTTTTGAATGCATGATCTATATTTTGAATTGAATTTTATTTATTTTTTCTTTTTTTTTGTGAGCGAAAATAATAATGGATATAAAAATCATGTAATTAATAAAATATGTTGTACATATTAATTCAATAGTGTGATTTTAGACATCAGATAAAATTTTTATCAATTTTATGACAATTTTTTTTTAATGATTGGACATGACTTGGCCAACATCAAATTTTGATATATATGTGTAAGTAAAAACTTGATAATGTACGATCTTGTTTGATTCATTACAATATGCGATTTTATATTTTAGTTTTTTTAATTTGTAACACAGATTTGATTAATTTGAAGATAATTACTGTATGATTAAATGTTGTACTAGAAATTGTGCAAAAGCGAAACATGATTATCATTTAAAAAGAGGGGTATATACTTTCTTCTTTCTTTAATAATTGCTCAATTTTGACACTGTTAAATAATTTCTATTGATCATAATTTTTGCTTAAATAAAATAGTATATAAAATTTTGATAAATTTGTCTTGATTTATAATATTAAGATATTAATGATTTAATGGTGAAACTTGTATATTTGTAAGCTTGAAACAGCAATGGATTAAGTATAAAAAATGAGTTTAGTTACCTATGACCTTCATCAGGTTAACTGAATTTTCACATCTCCCTTTGATGATACAAGCCTATTTAAACCAATTGATCAACAATTTGATGTTCATTATTTTAAATACTGTACTAAAGTAGTAAATATGACTTTATTTTTTCACATGTTAAAAACAATGAACGCATACACTGTTTATATTTATGGCCCGTTATTAGGTGATCATAAATTATAGTAATGAGATGAATTTGTACAGTAATGCTAATTCATCCCAAATATCCCATTTTACCAAATACCTCCTCCCGAATGACAATGAATAGTAATGAAAAAACATGAAGAAAACACATGCTTGAAGATAAAATTGCATTACGTACCACCATTTATTACTGGCTACCAAACATATTGTTAGTTCTAATTTATGAAAAATCGAGGGAGTAATATATATATATATATATATTATTTTAAAAAATTCAAACAAATCGTGCATCTCACGGGCTTCATTTAGTTATTTAATAAAAGGATTAACTTAGGTCTTAAAGTCTAGGAGCTCTAAAAATAAAATAAAATAAAAAACCTTAAAGTCTATAAATCTAAAAAATTTATATCAATCACTCTTTAATTCATCCATCCAAAAAAAAAAAAAAAAATTGTAAAAAAGTGAAAAAGATGGGAAAATCTTGACCTGCTGCGCTAGTAATAAAAAGGTTCCGTGTGAGTTATATGCAATTACAACAATGCGCGTGTCCCAGTTCAGCTACTACCATCACCAAACTAGACTTTTTTTTTATTTACAAATTGACTTCCAAAAGTGTATTTTACAAGTGTACCTTATTTGTGTGTATATATATGCAACTTATTTCACCTAAAAGTCATATTAATTCCATTTCTTCATGCAAAATTCTAGCTATTGCTAATAGTATTTCAACACCTTGTTATACTTTCATAATCACTTCATAAATCATAATCAAGAAAGTAAACTTTTCATTCTATATATTTCCATTTTCGACGATTTCTTGGTATGCCTTGTTATGTTATTTTTATATGATACGTTACATTATTGTGTTTATGTGATCAAACTGATATTTGTAGTAAATCTGTGTATGTTCTAGCAGGAAAGATTTTTCGAGCTGTTTCGAAAAAAATAAAATGGGGAGTGCTGCTTGTGATGGGAAATTCGAGCTCGAAATCAAGCAAGAAGAGCCTACAAGAGTTCCACCAGTGGAGAAAACAGAAAAAGGGCATTACTTCTTGTGCAACTTAGACCAAAACATTGCTGTTATAATGAGAACGATTTACTTGTACAAGTCACCAGAGAAAGGAAATGCAGATGCTGCAAAAATTGTCAGAGAATCATTGTCTAAGGTTCTTGTTCATTTCTACCCTCTTGCAGGGCGGCTAACTATCAGTCCTGAGGGTAAGTTGATCGTTGATTGTACTGGAGAAGGACCGCTGTTTGTCGAGGCAGAGGCCAATTGCTCTGTGTTAGAGCTGGTTGCATAGCTGGTGCTGATCCCATGGTGCTAAAGAACCTTGTATATGATGTTCCTGGTGCTAAAAATATCATCGAGACTCCTATTTTTACTGTTCAGGTATATTTTTTCTATTTCTGAGGTCCAAAATCTTATATTTTTTTCGTTATCTAATAAATAATTTGGTGAGAATTACCAAAAATGGTTAGGAGATTAATTGAAATATGAGATGTTTATACTGTTATGACTTGTGATGTCCTTTTTCTCTACCTTAATTAAGAGTTTGGGACTTTTAAGCCAAATCACTTTTATAGAAATTATATCAGTGTGTCCTTCAAAAAAAACAAATATTATTTTTTTCATATGTAAAAATTACAAAAAAAAGATTTGATATAATGAATTTAAAAATCAAGGCAAATCTAGCAAAACCGATGACTATATTTTTCTTTAACTATAAATCGTTACTGCTAGTCTGAGTGGAGTATTAACCGTGCATAAGTCAAAGTGTTACAAATAAAAAAAATAACGAAGGAAGTATATATTCTTAGTATGTAAAACATTCTAATTTGTTTCCAGAGGTTTTCACACTTCCATATTCAATCTTCTGTAAGTTCATTTTAACGTTCTGGAAAGTTTTGCAAAGCTAGAATTTTTAGTTAATTTTTAAGCTCTTCTATGTTCCCTTCAATTTCAAGGATACTTTTGTTTCCCAAAAAAAAAAAAAAAAATTCAAGGATACTTTTGCAATAAATATGCATAGGTACTTAACTAATTATTTACCTGAACATGATAAGGTTTCTGACTAAATTTTTTCTGTCATCTATTGTTATGAAATCAGGTCACAAAGTTCAGCTGTGGAGCCTTTGCAGTAGGCTTAGCCATGAACTCATGGGGTGAAATAGCGCGAGGATTACCATTAAGCACCCCTCCCTCTTTAGACAGAACGATCCTCAAGGCACGAGATCCACCTCAGATTGAATTCCCTCAGAATGAATTCCTTGACATTGAGGACATATCAAACACCCATGAGCTGTATGATGAAGAAATGATGTACCGAGCCTTTCCATTCAGCCCTGAGAAGCTAGGAAGATTGAAGGAAAAGGCTTTAGAAGGCGGTGCTTTAAGCAAATGCACTACTTTTGAAGCATTAACTGCCTTGGTCTGGAGAGCTAGATGCAAAGCCCTGAGAATGCATCCTGATCAACAGACAAAGCTCCTCTTTGCAGTTGATGACCGGTCTAAATTTGATCCTCCACTGCCTAAGGGTTTCTTTGGTAACGGGATTGTTCTGACTAATGCACTGTGCAAAGCAGGGGATCTCCTTGAGACCCCTTTGTCACACGCGGTGGAGTTGGTTCAAGGAGCAGTTAAGCTAGTTACTGACAGTTACATGAGATCGGCCATAGACTACTTTGAGTTGACCAGGGCTAGGCCTTCTATGAATGGTACACTATTGATCACAGCATGGTCTAGACTTGCTTTTCATTCCCCCAACTTTGGATGGGGGGAGACAATTTACACGGGGCCTGTGGGTGTGCCTGAAAAAGAGGTCGCGTTGTTTCTTCCTAGTGGTGAAGATAGGAGAAGCATAAATGTGCATCTTGGGATGCCAGCCTCTGCTATGAAAATCTTTGAAGAAGAAATCATGCAGATATAAGGATATATAAAAAGAAAAAGTTTAATTGTCCTAGTGTTGCTCTTTATTGCAAGTTATATATATTTGTATTGTGGTACATAGTAGTATAGTTCTACATCTATAAGCAGATCAATGGATGTGGAAGAGCTTGAACTCAAATATCCACACACTGAAGATGGAATTTGTGAACTTCTAGACTAAGTGGTAGGAGAGTTTTCGAGCTACAATTTCCATTTCCATTTGTCATCGTTTATACCATACTGTTGAGTGTTTATGCTTATGATAAAACTATAGAAATTCGATAAGATGTATATTTATGCAGGTGTATAAGATGTATATCTATGCTGGTGTATCAAATGTGAAAAATAATGCAAATCATGTATTGACAAACTTTACTGTGAAGGACATCAGTTGGAAAAGTATTTTACTGTGAAAAATTCTACAAATTAAATCTTTGTTTCAGATACTATGATTTAGGCCATAAAGATTTTGTACTTTGGTAAATATTTAAGCCCAAAAACAGAACCTGTGAGATGCTACAAAAACATAATAAGTAGAAGCAGAGTAGTTGCCAATAGTCCCACCTTTAAGGCATCAACCAAAATTTCCATTTAATTTTAGGCCTTTTGGGTGTCCTAAACATCTCTTTACACATTCTTTAATTCTCTTTTGACTTTTTACTTTTCTAAAAATATGTCCAATCCCTAGCATGATAAAAAGATCTAGGACGGAGGGAGTAAATGATTTATCTTTTTTTATTTCAAGAGATACTTCGTGATATTGGCATTAGCAGTTGTACTTTTATCAAAGCATTCATTGTCTTCAGATTTTTTTATCTGTAGGAAAAAAAAAATGGAAAATGCAAAAAAAAAAATTCATAAAATAATTTAGTATAATTATCATTACATCAGCCCAATACTACATACAGGTGTACGCCAATCAAGCCATTTACATTATGAAATAACATCCAATCCAAATTTGGTATGAACAAATTCAAACCTGAACACAATGTTTTAAGAAACAGAAAATCAACCACTTCTAGCTCAGATCATCCTATAAAACGCGAAATCTGAAAATAGAGCTGTATATACACTTATTAAAACTGGTTCATTCTGATCAATTTCGACGGGCTAAGTAGACCATACGAGCCATATCCGCCACAACCATGATGCCTAGTAATATCAGTATTATCACTGTCCATTTCAGCCAAGACATTAAGAAAGTAATCAACATCACAAGGAAGCAAAAGAGGCCCATCACTGCAATATCCATATTGCCTCTCTGCATCATCTAACAGCATTTTAAACAAATGGTGGTTAGCATACTTTGCCTTGATCACAAACCTCTGCCTCGCCGATCCTACATAGACAGAGAAGCATCCCCCGGGTGTGACCGGCCTCTTAGCCTTACCTTGCGACGAAGGTGATGGACTAGGACTGCACCACTGTGGAAATGACTTGCACCTAGGCAATGTATATGTATCAGGGTTGCTGCTAAATATACATTCTTTTACTTCCTTTTTCTCCTTCATTGACTTGCATCTTGTTAATAAAGTCTTCTTCAATTTCTTCAACCTCTCCATTTCTTGATCTTCTTTGTTTAATCTATTTCTTTTTGTGGGATTTGTAATAAGACCTTAACTAAGGTTATTGCTTTGATTTAGTCTCTATCATAGGATGAATGAATATTGGCTTCAATGGAAATTGATTGATTTTGGTCCATTGTGTATAATTTTGTTATAGTACATAATTTATATTTTTATATATGTATATATATAAGGTCAATAAAATACAAATGCAAGTTAAGATATGAGGAAGTGGTTAAGTGGATCAGAAAAGATATAACAGATGCAGCCTAAACAGATTTTATTTTGTTACCCTCCCTCTATAATTCTGATTCTGTCATATAAAAGTTGGCAGTATTATATTGTATTTAGAGGGTTGATTGGGTAAAGTGTATCTGGGGATTTTTTTAAAACTGAATTATTAAGTGTAGCAGCTGGATGTATATATGTGTATTTATAAGGCAATATATTAATAATTATTAAGAATCATGGACTTTTTTTTTAAGTAAATTGATATTATAGTGTATCTCAATGCCAACGGTTTTGTGACCTTATATAATCACAAAAGGTTTCAAATCTCTTTAAATATTAGAGCTTAAGTGGATACACTAACATTGACGAAGCTTTTGAAGAGCATAGAAAATTATGTTCTCAGTTCTCTCAGTAGGTATGACAATTCTCGATTTCTTTTGTATATGTGTACCTAGGTACTAGGTAGGGTGTGAGCCCAAGGGTATAGACTTTTGCTCATTTGAAAATATTTCAATAATGAATAGAATTGATTGAGCAAAAAAAAAAAAAAAAAAAAAAAAAGGGTATATTTGAGTCCACATTGTACTATAATAAGAGCATGCAAGATTTTCCTTCGTTTTTTTAAAAAACCTCCATTATTATCTTTACACAAACTTTCATAGGTGGCTGGCCACACGGTGTAGCCAATCACAATTATTTTTTATTTTTTTTTGTTAAAAAAAAAAATCTTAAACTAGTTTTCTCTCTTCTCTTTCTTCTTCTCCAAGCAGACATTTCTTTTCTGTTTGTATCATTCAAGCTTTCTCTCTCTTACCTCTTTCATTTGCACTAGTGAGAAAATTTTCTAGAAAACCACTGATTTTTGCTCCATTTTTGTTTGATTCTTCATCAATTTTGATTAATAACCTGGTATTACACTCAACAATTTGCATTGAAGCGATTTGAAAGCTCAATGGTACATAAGAATCAATGATAAAGAAGAGGAGAGAAATTGCAATTATTGGTACGATCTTCAAAGTCGCTTCAATTTGATTTTTCGCCATTTGTTAAAAACAGCTCAACTTAAAGGTTTTCAAGTCCAAATTCGGCTATAAAAACTCTCGAGTTTTCATGGTCAAATTAGGCCTTTTTAGCCGTATTTGAAGTGAAATTCGAAACCATTGTTAATTTTAAAGGTATTTGTTCGTTTTTATTTTTCCGATTTGGTTGTGGGTTCGGTTGGATCTATATTTGTTTGTGGGTTTGGTGTATGGTGGCGGTGGCATGGCGTATTGGGGGTGGGGCTAGTGGCGTTTTGGGGGTGGTAGTGGGTCAAGGGTTACAAGGTCGGGGGTTACTAGATAGGTTACTTAAATTAAGTGGGGTTACTAGGGGTTACTTGGGAAGTTATTTAAGTGAGGTTACTTGAGGGGTTACTTAAGTGGGGTAATCTAAGGGGTTACTAAGTTGGAGGGGTTACTAGAGGGGTTATTAAGTCTGAGGGATTAATAGAGGGGTTACTTAGTCCGGTAAGGGGTTACTAAGTCGGAGGGGTTACTTAAGGGGTTACCAGAGAGGTTACTTAAAGGGCTGCCAGAGGGGTTACTAGATGGGTTACTTGAGGGATTACTTGGTTCAGTAAGGGGTTACTAGGTCCTATAAGGGGTTACTTGCTCAGGGATTACTTGGTCCAGTCATGGGTTACTTGGTTGGAGTGGTTACTAAGTTGGTAGGGTTACTTTGTCATTTGATGATTTGACACCCTGTCGCATGGTGCGGCCAGCCACACTAGAAACGCACTGTTATCTTTATTATGTTTAAATTACTACTATTCACCTTATTTTAAAAAAAAATCAAAAAATTAAAAGAAATCAAATTAGATACTCTTTGTATGGGTATTTCATAATGTTGAACTACAAATCTCCTTTACAATTGTATCTCTCTCACGCCACATATATAAACACATTTTCACTGCTTTGTCTTACTTTATCCATCTTATTCTTAGCTTACATTCACCCACCTTTAACTTAACATGTTTTATTTTATTCAATTGTTTTTTATGCCCGGCCCACTCACTTAAGTTTTTTTTTTCATCACTTTACTCTTGTATAAATCAGATTAGTTCAGATCAAAACTCAAATCAAATCAAATCTTCTTTTCCATTTTCTTAATAACATACTTCTATATCTTTTGATATTTCGTTTGACTTAATTTGACGTTGAGCTTATTTTTATCGGACTTTAACTTTGTTTTGAAAGACTTTGAAAAGTATTTTGTTGTGTGTTTGTGATAATATGCCTTAACATTTATCATGATCCTGATAATGTCTGGTTACTTCCATAATCGAGATTTTTTTTTGGGAAAAATACACTTTAATAATCCCAACTTTTTTGGAAAAAATATACTTTAATAATCCCAACTTTGCCAATTTACTTTAACTAATCCTAAATTTTGATTATTTCACAATAATCTTAACTTTCACATATGCTTTCTTTCCTCAATCACAATTATTGATAACCTGGAAAGAGGGTAAATTTTTTTTGTAAGAAATCATAATTGCTACATGTAGCTTGTTTAGTGGTTTAACAAAGTTAATACATTTTTTAAAAAAGAAGATTTAAAAAAATCAAAACACGAAGCTGACATGACCACCGCCGGTGGCCACGGCCTCCCCATCTCAATTTCAACCCTGATTTTCGACGACCACCACCAATTTTGTCCCCCTCTCTTCCCCTATCCCATAAACCTACCCTCACCACAACCTAGATAGCCCGAAACCATTGTCGTTGACTCACCAGGACCGATTTTGAAGTTGGGGGAAGGGAGTGAGGGCCGGTTTTGGTGGTGTGGGAAGAGAGGAGGCGTTGGTTTTAGTGGTGTAGAAAGGGAGGGGTTCCATTTAGAGGGTTTGGTTAGGGATGAAAAATGGTATCTTAGCGGCGTTTTGAACGGTGGTTGCGGTTTTCGAGGTGGGCTTGGGGTGAAGGGGTCGATTTTTGGTGTTAGAGGTGTTTTGGTGGCGAAATGCATTGGCAGAGGGTAGGGGTGTTCGCGGTGCGGTTTGGATCATAAACCGCACCAAACCGCAAAAGTGCGGTTTGTAAACTTTTCAAACTGCACCAAACCGCACTTTTAAAAAAACCGCACCTTTGCGGGTTAACCATATTTTATTAAAATTGTAATTATTCTTTTTAAAACAAAACTTTTATTTTATTTTATAATTATTAGTTTATAATTCAAATATTAAACTCTTTTAATTAAACTTTAATTAACTAATAGTTAAAGATTAGCTAATATAATTTAGTTCTTTTATATAATTTTAATGAAAATATAGTATAAAAATCGTAAACCGCATTAAAGTATGGTTTGCGGTGCGGTTTGGTCTTAATATTTTTTGAGACCGCACCAAACCGCAAACTGCGGTTTGGTCATTTTTAAAAACCGCACCGCAAATTTTAAATCGCAAACCGCACTCTATACAACCCTAGCAGAGGGCTGGGAGGAGGTGGTTCAGGAGTTGGATGGGAGAAGGGTCACCGCTGCTGGCGCCTGGCTGCTTGTTTGTTTTGTAATAAAAAAAAAATCTTTTTTTTCTTTTATTTATTTTTTTTCTAATTTTTTTGGACCAATCACATGTTAGGTAATCTAGAGGTTAGGATAATTAAATTTTGTTCACCGATTTGGAATTGAAGAAGGAAAACGTAGGTGAAAGTTGAGTTTATTGCAAATTAATTGATAGTTGGGATTATTTTAAGTAAATTGGGCAACGTTGGGATTATTAAAGTTTATTTTTCTTTTTTTTTAATAAATCCTTAATTATGTTTATCACAATCAATCAATCATCAATAACTATATACTAAAAGACACATTAGCAATGACACATGTCAATTTCTAGTGTGTTTGTAACCTTTTATAAAACTTTTATATTTTAGGAAATTATTATATACAATAATAATTGTCATAGCTAACTATATAAAATAAGTAAGGATCTTTTACATTCTATAGATGGATGTATATGCAACTACTATAAGTATGTGTTTTGGTAATATATGATTACTTTAAAATATGCAAACTTTGATAATTTTTTTAAGAATATATAATATTCAAGTATGTACTTGACAATAATAATTACTGAATTAGAGGGAAAAAAAACCTATAGATGGATTTATATTCTATAGATGGATGTATATGCAACTACTATAAGTGTGCACGGTGCGGTTTGGTGCGGTTTGGATCTCAAACCGCACCAAACCGCAAAATTGCGGTTTGTGATTTTTTCAAACCGCACCAAACCGCAATTCTATACAAACCGCACCGCAAAATACGGCTTGGTGCGGTTTGCGGTTTTTCCATAATTTTTTTACCTCACAAATAATGATTATTTGCTAATCTTTTGTTATGAAATTTTTACTTGGAAACTATACAACTATGCAAATAATTTAATAAAGAAGTAGTGCTTTACTTCAATGTTAATAGTGACCCAGTAACATGCCAAGGCAAACATGGAGCAAAATCATTAAGTAAACCACAACCACTCCATTACAACTCCAAAGCACAAGAAACGGAGAGTAATAAGAAAGGAAAACTTTGGTTTTCTTAATAATGACCCACACAATTCAGTACATATAAATACAATATAAGAGTCTTCTTTCCATATAAGAGTCTTTGCATTAAATTGCGGTTTGCGGTGCGGTTTGGTTTGAATTTTTTTTGAAACCGCACCAAACCGCAAAACCGCGGTTTGGTCAATTTTGAAAACCGCACCGTAATTTCCAAACCGCAAATCG